TTTTTTTAAATACCCCTGTTCCTCCTGATGAGCAGAATCATAGCCCCTATGACTGGAGTCCCCTATATTTCTCCTTTGCTAACAAAGCAATAAAACTTCTTTTTCCTTTTTCTCAAAACCATGCCTTACTTCAAAAGAAAGGGCCAAATGTTTTCTCTGATAAGTAGATAATGATCCATATGGGGGTGGGGGGCATGGGAGGGATGGAAGAACTTTGGGCAAAGGGGAGGGAGGTGAGTAGAGGGAGTTTGGGGGTAGGGAAGGTGGTGGAATGAGATGGGCATCATTACCCTAGGTACATGTATGAAGACATGAATGGTGTGACTCTACTTTCTGTACAACCAGAGAAGTGAAAAAAATGTGCTCCAATCTTGTTCGATGAATCAAAATACATTCTGCTGTCATGTATAACATGTATGACAAATAAATAAAATAAATAAATAAAACATATTTATTATTAAATTGGTATGCATTTTCATCTGGGACCAGGACCGAGCTTTTGGTAATAGTAGTTTAAAAATATTTTCTGTTTTTTTTTTGAAAAATTCTCACATGGTTCATGCATTATTCTCTTTAATTCAGAGATATTTATTTTGAAAGTTATTTTGAATACTCTGACAGTTATTTTGAATACTTACTGACAGTTATTTTGAATACTCTGTCAGGATAATTATTCAGCTCCATTTTATTAAAGTTGATTTATCTTGCCTATTTATTGGGCACAGTTTTGCTTGTTTCTTCATTTTCCTGGACTCTTTCTTGATGTCTGAGTTTTAGGTAAAGGGAGCATGTCTCCCAGGTTTACATACTGGTCTTGGATAAAAGAAGAATCCCATCAATCAACCTGGCCAGAGATTGATTATGTGGCCCTCTATCTTTTCCTTTCCATGGAGAATGAGAAACTGCTTTTTCTCTGCTCACTCTGTACTAAGCCATGGACAGGAAGGGTCTATGATGTCTACCAGTCAAATTGCCATTTCTCATTCTGTGAAGAATGTCATTGGCTTTTTGATAGAAATCACACTGAATCTGCATAATGCTTTTAGTAATATGGATAGTTTGACAGAATTAATTCTTCCTATCCAAGTGTAACAGTGGTACATTTTTTCTTTTGAATATAGCCTTTGCAGCTTATTTTAAAAGAAATATTTTTTTTTTCTTTTCCTCTTCTCCCTGTCCCCCTCACTAAGCTGGGGGTAAGGAACAAGATTATCTTTGTTGCTGAAAGCTCGGTCCTTTTCCCCCATGCCAATCCAGTAACAAGGACATGGTTTTTAGAAAAAACGTAAAAGAAAGCTTATTGTTTTGCTAGCAAAGGAGAAACAAAGGGGACTCCTGTCCCAAAAGCTGTGATTCTTCCCATTGGCAGGAACATGGGGCTTTTAAAGAGGTAATTCAAAGGCTACATTCCACACGTTCTGTGTTGGAGTTATAATTCACCTATAAATTTGGGAGATAGTTAATTCTGAGATATTCTGGTACCATCCCAAAGTATGGAGGAACAGATAAATCTGCCCCAGATGGGGAAGAAAGGTAATCCTATTTCCCCTGATATTAGAGAGGAGCAGAGAGAAAGGAAGAGAAAGAAACATGTCCATTTGAAAAATAAGTTGCAGTGACAAGCACAACAGGGATATATCCAAACCATAAAGTGGACCACTGTTACACCTTGAGTTATCTGTTCTCCACAGGAAGAAAATGCCACCAGAATAAATAGAAAGTGACTAATCCCCAAATTAACAAGGGAATTTCAACACAGCCTCAGGGCACACCTGGGACCCCTTGCAGGGCACACCAGGAATCTAGCCTTTGAATACCTTCTTTAAAAGCCCTCTGTTTTCCCTGATGGGCAGAATCTCAGCATCTGGGACAGGAGTCCCATGTGTTTCTCCTTTTCTAGCAAAGCAATAAAAATTCTTTTTCCCTTTTCTCAAAACCATGTCTCCTTATTGGATTAGAATTGGGGACAAGGACTGAGCTTTCCATAACACAAGGTTATGTGTGGACTTTCTGTCTTCTAAGTTCTAAGTTTATTGTAGAAGCCTTTCACCTCTTTGGGTTAGATTTATTCCCAAGTATTTTTTTTTTTTGGAGATTATTTTGAAGGGGATAGTTTCCTGAATTTCTTTTCCAGCAGTTTCATTATTGGAGTAGAGGAAAGTATTTGATTAATTCATTTGGAAGCATAAAATTCCCAGAATAGTCAAAGCAATCCTGAGCAAGAAAAGCAATCACATATATGATCAACTTATACTAAAGTGCTATAGTAACAAAAACCGCTTAGTGTAAACATCAACACACACATGAAGATGAATGGAATAGAATAGAATACCCAGATGCAAATCCACATGAATATAGTCATCTGATACTTGACAAAGGTACCAAAAACATATTGGAGAACAGATAACCTTTTTAACAAGTGGTGCAGAAGAATGAAACTAGATCCCTGTCTGTCATCCTGCACCAAAGTCAACCTGAAGTGGATCAAAGTTCTAGAAATTAGACCAGAAACACTGCAATTTCTAAAAGAAAACACAGGTTCAACACTCCAACATACTGGTGCTGGTATTGAATTCCTTTGTAAGATGCCTAAAGGTCAAGAAATGAAATCAAGAATCAGCAAATGAGATGGTATCAAATTTAAAAGTTTCTTCACAGCAAAGGAAACATGAATCTGAAGGGAGATCCTACAGAATGGGAGACAATCTTTACCAGCTGCTCCTAGGATACAGGATTAATATCCAGAGTATAGAACTCAAAAATGTAATACAAAAGAAACAAATAATACAATGAATAAATGGGCAAAAGAACTGAATAGATACTTCTAAAAAGAAGAAATACAAATAACCATCAAATATGTGAAAAAATGTTCAATATTTCTAATGATCAGGGAAATGCAAATCAAAACTATAATGATATTTTATCTCACTCCAATTAGAATACAAATAATAATAAATGCTCCCGAGGATGTGGAGAAAAAGGAAAATTTACACATTGTTGGTGAGAGTGCAAATTAGTTCAACCACTCCAGAAAGCAGTATGGAGATTCCTCAAAACTGAAGGAGTAGAACCACCATATGACCCAGTTATCCCACTCCTTGCTATTTATCCAAGAGAACTAAAATCAGCATACTATAGTGATATGGGAACATTAATGTTGATAGCAGTGCAGTTCACAATAGCCAAGTTATGGAATCGGCCAGGTGCCTGTCAACACCATGGACAGACATTTGCACACACACATATAGAACCAAAATCAAAACTCAAACCAAACCAAACAGTATATTTTGGGTAAAAATGTAGGAATCATACTCTATGTTCCATGGAAGTTCACATGGAGGAGATTTGCCAAGAGAAATAGGACGTGACTTTCACAGAGCGGGTGGGTATGAGATTGCTTTTGATTCTGATAAAGAACAAGAAAACACAAAATGAACCACAATTAATATTCTAATAACATTTATTGAGTGCTTTCTACATGCTAAAGAGAGTAGCAGAGAATTTAATAAACAATTTCTCATTAAAATCGGACACTAATTGTTCTGTGTTGAAGGAATTGCCATACTAATTTTATAGATTTAATTAGGTAATGTCAAATTCAACAGTTGATTAAGGAAAGAATCAAGTTTCTATCAAGAACTTCAGATATAAAATCTTATATTCTTTCACAAAAAGGTTGAAAAAGAATTCAAACTAGAAGCTGAGTAGAGATATAATGCTTTCTTCTCCCTTCACCATCAAAAAATACAGTCAAGCATTATGTTGACTGAAATCCTCCCAGTCATTCCTCACAGCCCATCCCAAGAAAATTTAGGTGTTGCCTTTTTGTGTTCCTATGACAACCTGTATATATAACAATTAGAGAACCTTAATTGCATTTTATGGTAATTAGTGTTTTATTTTTTTTGTATCAGGGATTGAACTCAGGGGCACTCGACCACTGAGCCACATCCCCAGCCCTATTTTGTATTTTATTTAGAGACAGGATCTCACTGAGTTGCCAAGCACCTCACCATTGCTAAGGCTGGCTTTGAACTGGTAATCCTCCTGCCTCAGCCTCCCTAGCCGCTGGGATGGTAATTAGTTTTTTGCTTGCCTGTCTCATCCCACAAGACTGTTATTTGAGGGAAGAGATTGTGTCTGAATTATTTTCATAATTATCTTCATAGCTTAGTGTTGAGTTCAGTGTCTAACACAGAGGAGGCAATCAGTGAATTTTTTTGACTGGATGATTCTAAATGTGAATATTTTGCCAGCTTGCCCACATCACACTAAACTAGATTATTCCACACTTCTGGACCTGCTGCCAAAGATGTTTAAAGAAATTTTCAACTTTTCCAGAACTTTCCACAGAGCGCTTTTCATCTCCTTATTCCTGAGACTATAGATTAGGGGGTTAAAGAGTGGGGTTACCATTGCATAGAACAAGGTCATGATTTTGGGCATCAAGGTGGAGTGGCTAGACCCTGGGCTCACATGCATTACCATAATGGTACCATAGAATAGCAGCACCACAGCCAAGTGGGACCCACAGGTAGAAAATGCCTTCTGCCGACTGGATGCTGAGGGCAACTGAAGAACAGCTAGTAGAACCAGGGCATAGGAGATGAGGATAAAAAGAAAGCTAAGGAGGATGACCAGGGAACTTAGGGTATAGCTAGTGAGTTTGGACATAGGGGCAGGGGCACATGAAAGGGTCAGCAATGGGCCAGAGTCACAAACAAAGTGGTCAATTACATTAGGACCACAGAAAGGCAGTTGGGAGATAAGAATAACAGGTACCAGATACCAGAGGAAGCCACACACCCAGCAGGAAACCACGAGGTTGAAACAACGTTGTCCAGTCATAACTATGGCATAATGGAGAGGATGACAGATGGCGAAGTATCTGTCGAAGGCCATTGCTGAGAGAAAGAAGCACTCAGTAGAGCCCATGGAAAAGAAAAAATATAACTGTAGGAAGCAACCAGTGAAAGAGATGCTCTTGGTCTCTGAGAGGAAGTTGACCAGGGTGTTTGGGACAGTGGAGTTGACATACCAGATCTCCAGGAATGCAAAATTCCCCAGCAGGACATACATAGGGGTGTGGAGATGCTGGTCCCAACACACAGCACAGATGATGGCTCCATTTCCCATGAGAGTCAGGAGATAGACGATGGAGAAGACCATAAACAGCATAAGCTGAATCTCCCTGCTGCAAGGGAATCCCAGAAGGATGAATTCACTCACTGATCCAGAAGAGAATCCTGATCCAGAGATGTTCATTGAGTCTGTAAGCTGTGCTGCAATGAGGCATTGTGACCATGAGGCCAAATCCAAATGACCAAACACAACAAACAAAACCCTTTCTGATCTGATCTTTACTTCCCTGACCTCATCTCCTTCCCTCTGTCCCCTCAAATCGTATGGCCCACTAAGGTAGTTTGTACTTCCACCAAATGACATGCTGTTCTCTGTACCTAACATAGATGTTGCTTCTTTCTTCTTTCTCTCTGTTTGTTCATTCCTCCTATGCCCTTTCCTTTCTTCTTTTCTCCTTGTGTTGACTTTTTGTCTTTCTTTTTTGATTTGAACTACTGGTACTTTCAGTTTACATTGTTCATCAAATGACTTCTTCAGAAAATATTACTGTACTTCACAATCAAAAAATCCTAATTTTTTGTTCTGCCATAATAGCTGATGTCTCTGTGTAGAAATTATTATACTAATGGCCTGGCGTGGTGGAGCATGCCTGTAATCCCAGTGGCTCAGGAGGTGGAGGCAGGAGGATCTCGAGTGCAAAGGTAGCCTCAGCAATTTAGCGAGGCTCCAGGCAACTCAGTGAGACCCTGACTCTAATAAAAAAATACAACATAGGGCCAGGGATGTGGCTCAGTGGTCGAGTGCCCTTGAGTTCAATCCCTGGCACCCCAAAACAAAAACAAAAACATTATTATACTAAGCCTTATGATAATTGGTCACTTTCTTTCTTTACCACTGTGAGTTTCATGAAGGGAAAAGTCATATTTTTCATCTCAGTGTTATTGGTGCAGAGAGGACTGCTTGAGGTTTGGAGTGCCGCACTTACTTGCCAACTGAGGCCACGGTTTGGATGCTGAACTTTGTGAAAATACATGGCAAAGGTCCTAGGATGGGTAAATGCCACTTAATGATTTTATTTTCCTTAAGACTGAGTTACTTCCTTGTTCCAGCACTTTTGGACCCAGAAATTTTCCTGTGGGTTGCTTTTCTTTTCTTTGTTCTTTGCTCAGTTGCCACTTAGTTCATTTTTTTCTAAAGCTATTTTTTGGAGAAAAGGACTCTATGAAGCTCTTGGAAAAGGGAAACTGTTACTGGAGGAATTAACCAATAAGACTGATGGATTCAGTATGTAAGAAGGATTTAGGGGTTGGTAGTCTGGTCTACGCTGAACTGATGGTCTTACAGAATATTTAATGGTCTTGTCTTTGATAACCAATCTAATGAAAGAAAGGTGTAACCATTTAGGAGAAAGAAAGCTCTAAAATGATTAATGAAATACCTCTTTTTCCAAAGACTGTTCTGATATTGGTATTAAGTACATTTATCTATGACTGATACTTCCTTCAGAAAAAACTTTGAATTTCTTCCTGTTGGTCAATTCTTTGGTTTGGCCAAGTTTTCTGTCTGAGTGTGCTTCCTTTGCTTGCTGTGATATCATTAAATCTATTTCTATCATATAAAACCATTAGTGTGATTTACCCAGCCATGCTATTCACTAGTTAGACTAGTTTATATGCAATGTAAGTAAAAACAAAACACAAAGAGCTAATGTTCTTTAAAGTGCATTTGTGGTACACTTTGCGACTAGTTTGAGTTTGATTTCCTTGTTTCATAACCCACCGGGACTTCTCAGTGTGTGGTAACGTTTACTGAATCTTTTGTTTTGAGTTTTGAGTCTGGAACCCTGTAACTACATATAGATATAACCTCTAAAACATAACCAGGGGAACAACCTTTTAATCCTGTCTGAAATTATTTAGTGTGGATTATTGGTCATAACTGAACTCTTATCTCAAAAGATATCATACTGTAATATAGTTATAAAAATAGAAGTTAACATTTTTAGAAAACATATTCATCTCTACTTACCTTGGATAATGACAAACACCAGTTTTTCCAAAAATGAAAGCTGTTTGGATATAGTCCTTCAGATCTTTCATTAAGGACACCACCAAAATAACCACCACCACAACAAATTAGGATTCTCTCTCTAGAAAAAAAGGGCAAGGTGATTTCTGCATATCTGGGAACCGTAGCTTGGGAGGAGCCACACACCAATACCAAATGTGTCTTTTCTTCTCAGCTTCAGTCTCAAAAGTGTATTCCATGAATTTCACCAAAACCAACCCCCCTTTTGTACAATTAATTTTGCAATAACTGCCAAGAGCCTCACCAAGGGAGATGTCGAGAAGATGATATAGATGAGACCTTGGGAGTAGCCTTCAATTTTTTATTTGTAAAGAAGGATTCAAGTATCGCCTATATTAATAGTTTAAACAGACTGCAGAGGACTCTGTCCTTGACCAGTATTTCCAGGGATTTGATCCCTTGTGTTTAAAAAAATGACTGCTTATCTCAGAATGCCTAAGGGATGGCCCATCTCTCAGTCCTGCATCTGCCTCTAACTTCTGTGATTAAATGCCATAGGAAAAAGAACCATGGGAAAAAAGGAGGTATATGAAATAAATATGTGGATATATCTTCTGAAACCAAAGCCAATTATGATTTGTCTTTTACTCTGTAAAACCAAGATTTCTCTAGGGAAAGGTGAAAGCCATATAGACTGATGTAGAAATAAATCCCCAGAGATATGGAGAAGATAAAAAAAAAGAAATAATATATTTTCCTTTTGTGAGGAAGAAAATAGAGCTGACTTAAAGAATATTTTGTTTATAGTGCATAAGGGAAAACACCATTATATTATTTTATTAGAGTCGATGGCCTAATCTTAATAGCTCTTCAGTCTCATAGCATAATAATATGTATCATTTTTTTTCTTTTTTGTGTGTGGATGTGTGCATGTTTGTGTGAGTGTGCATGCACAAACACATGTAGGTGCAAGAGATGTAATTTTTGAATAGTAGAAAGGACCCAAGTAACCAAAAATATTTTCTCTAACTTGTTTCTTACCTATTTGGTTGACACATACAGCATGGGAATAGTACATTTTCTACTAAAAATTAGAAGAATATCAGTCATTATTTAGCATAGTACCTGACTATTTGTAGTTCAGTAAATATCTTTGGAAAAAAATTTCTTTTGAGTCCTATTTTCAGGAGATATTAAAAGGCATTAACAGAATAAGTTTGGTGATAAATACTAGTTTGAATAAAGTTACATAAGTTGATTTTTTTAATAGAGTGTCTTAGAGCATATGGATTGTCAGGATGTGGGTTTGGCCCTCTAAATGAGATTGTACAGTGAAGTGATGACCAAACTTATTTGAAACCAGACACATTGATTTATTTCCCAGAAAAAAATCTCAGGACTGGTGTGGTGTAAAATATGATTTGGGAAATACTGTTGAATACCTTTTTTTGCATGTTACAAAGTTGTCTTTCTTTCTTTTTTTGGGGGGGGGTAGCGGTGGTGGTGATTATCAGGGATTGAACTCAGGGACACTCAACCATTGAGCCACATCCTCAGACCTATTTTGCATTTTATTTAGAAACAGGATCTCACTGAATTGTTTAGTGCCTTGCTGTTGCTAAGGCTGGCTTTGGACTTGTGGTCCTCCTGTCTGAGCCTTTTGAGCTACCGTCATCTCTTTTCTTAAGATAGTATTTGGATTTGTATTTTGCCTTCTTAGTTGCAATAAGTAAATATGTTTCTTGAAGTTTTACATTCCTCACATACCAGTGGCTTAGTAAATATTTCCTGCTGATGACAATACATTTACAAACACTAATATAGCTAGATATTATAATACAAAGAAATATCATCAAAAATTTGGAAATAAGACAAAAAAATGAGAATACCATGTCAAAGAATAGTACAAGATTACCTAGTGAAAATGTCAGATCAGCTCACCTACAAAATACCCCTGGCTCTAACAGCAGCCCTGGACTGAAGAAACAAAACAAAATGTGTGCCTTTGAAGTTATTTGTGTCTCCTTGACCTGTCTGGTTCTAGAGGTTCTTTATTTTTTTTAAAAAAATAATTTTTTCTTTTTTCTTTTTAGTTAAACATGACAGTAGAATGTATTTTGACATATCATATATACTTGGAGTATAGCTTCCCATTTTTGTGGTTATATATGATGTGAAGTTATACTGGTTGTGTATTCTTATATGGACATAGGAAAGAAATGTTCAATTCATTCTACTGTTTCCCCCCATTCCCTCCTCCAATCTGGTGAACCTCTCCAACATTTATTCTTACTTGTATTCTTGATAGTTGCCATTCTGACTAGAGTGAGATAAAATCTCAATGTTCTAATTTGCATGTCTCTAATTGTTCCCAATCTTGAACATTTTTTTCCATATATGTGTTGACTGCTTGTATTTATTTTTCTGTGAAGTGCCATAGGTTCTTTATAAGGTTCATTTTCTGAGTTCTTATTTGTCCAAGATTGTTGGTCACTTATATAAGATGACTTTATTTAAAAAATGAGAAACTATGAGACTTGCATTTCTAAGTCAAAACCATTTGCTGCTTGAAGACCAGAAAGTCTGACTTTCCTGTGAGTTATATTTTGTACAAGAATTTAAAAGATCTCGTTTACTCTGGCAGGGAGTGCATGGCAGCAATGGTCTCTATGGAAAAGCTCTGGCTGCTGTCCAGCCTTGGGCTAGCAGCGACCAGGATCTGCCTGTGTGCCCAGTGTTACATCTGAAGTCCTTGCAGGCTTGTGGGGTCTCTCTGAGATTCTTGTGCTGGGAACTCTGATTTCTAAAGTGAAGGGGAAACAGTAGGGCCCGGGTCTTCTGGTATGCATGTAGTACATCTGAATAATGAGTAAAACTCCAGGCTTTTTGAATTAAATACATAATAAATATTCCTTGAAGGCCACCTCTTTATATTTTTTCCCTGAAGGAATTGCTCACATATTTAGATATTCATGTTTATTTTTATTCATGAATAAATTTGTGAATGGAAACTGAAAGTTCTTTGTATGTTGTAAATTATGAAAAGTTTTATTTTCCTTGTGAGAATGTCATATTTTCTTAATTCTAGAAGAAATTAATAAATTAGATTAAACCTCTTCCATTTAATGGGGCTCTAGTTCTCA